TTTTTTTTTCTTTTCTTTTTAAACACATTTGAAGGATAATTTGGTGCAAATACCATATTCCATGTGTTAGTCTGCATTAATAAATGCAATTAGTAAGTTATTGTGTTTTTTGTTGATTACGTAATAATTCTAATGCTTCTTTTAAAAGTCCAATGGCATATTCTTTCTTTGATACAATTTTACAAATAATGTTGTTTGTTTGAATAAAATTTAATACAATACCAGTAATTTTTGTTTGTTCATCAAAGTCATCTGTAATTGATTCAGATAAATTAAATAAAGCTTCTCCAATATCATTTTCCATTGGAGGTTTAACTTTTGTCCATACCATCACAAGAAATGAAACTACTTCTTTTAATTTATCTTTTTCAACAGAATCTATCCAACATAAAGGACATTGTTCTAACATTATTTTCATTAAGATTTTTCTTTCAATAGAATCTGTTTCTTGATAGAACCAAGTAATTTCATTAAAACAGTCAACTATTTTTTTATTAATATCATCATAACTTACTTTAAGAGGTTCTGTTTGAATATCAGCAATTCTTATTAAATCTCTCATTGTTTTTAATTCTGAATGTCGTTTCATATAATTTAATCTTCCTAATGATACTGAATATCCTATTCTTTCTATCACAGAAGCTCGATTTGTAATTTTTAATTTCTCCATTACACTTTCAACCCATTCAAATACTGGTTCTCTTAATGCTAATATCCCATTCTTTCTTTTCTTAATTTGGTCACAAACATTCCATGCTAACACAGCAACTTCTATCATCTGATAAATTTCATCCATTTCTTGAACTAATTCAACAATTCTTTCTTTCTCAAGAAATTCATTAAAACACTCATGAACAAATTCTGCCTTCTTTTCATTGAATGTTTCCTGACGAATGAACTCTAACAGTTCAGTAGAAACGTCTTTCTGTGTCATTCTGCAAAAATTGGTTATTTTTAAGTTCCACTAATTTTTTTATAGATCTTTATAATTTTGTTTTTTCTTTCTCTTTTTAACACTTTCTTTTTTATATTCAAAGGATAATGAAATGACATCTAATTTTCAATAAATCTTCTCATTTTTATATCTAATGCTTTTTTTTTGTAAGTCTTAAATTATAAGAATGTAGGGATAGATAAACAATGATATATAAATTAAAATTCTGGAATGAAAGGAATTTGTGAGACTGCGTGATTAACACTACTTGAAAACATTTTAAACATTTCTTTATATTGGTTTGTTCTTGATTGTTGGAATAAATAATGTGTTCTCATTAATTGAGCAATAGGAAGAATATCTTTTTCAGTATATGTTGAGTATTTAATAAGTGTTTTATCCCAATAAGGAACAGTATTATTGATTCTTCTCTGAAAATAAACAGCGGCTGCTGCAATTTGAGATGGAAGACATTGAATCATTTTTTGGTCTAATGTAGCAATTAAAATTAAATACTTTCCAAGAGTATGTTCAATTTCATCTGCATTTGCTGCCTTATCAAATCTTCTCAAAAATTCAATTGATAACGGACGAACAAATCTGAAATCAATTGTTTTACAAATCACTCTCTCCATCTCTAATAATTGGTTTTTTGTATATGCTCCTCTACTAATAATAATAAATTCATCAACATTTGGGTATGAGATTTCTTGAAATTTAACACATAAATGAAGACAAGCAACACCAACTAATTGAACCTCTGATCTATATCATTAATTTTTTTTTATCAATCATATTATTTGAATATACTAAAAAATAGTTAATAAAAACTACTTATCTAGTAATTTCCCAAAAATAGATCATTCCTCATATTAACATAACTAAAAATAATATTTAACAAACTTAGGGATAGTTGTTTTGCGAGAAATAAAATCATCAAATGTTGCAACAGTGAGTAAATATGTTTCTATTGTTGTTGCAAATTCATCTTGTGAAACAAGAAATAACCAATCAAGTAAAATATTACGTGTAACTGCAGTAATATGAACTTGTTTTTGAAGTAAATCTGGTGCAATTTGTAAGTCCTTTTCACTTTTAAATAAGTTATCAGTTATTTCTTTAATATTTTTTGGTTCATACCTCATTAAGAAATGATCTTTTTCATATTGATCAATGTCTTCTATTTGTTCATCAAATTGAGTTTGACTTTCTAAAACAACATCATTGGTATTTTTTATTAGAAAATCATTTGAATCTTTATTTTTATTTGAAGATAGATAAATTTCAGGTTGTTTAGATATTATTTCATCATCTGTTAATTGGATTAATTCAAACGCATTACTTGGTTTAATTTCCAATTTAACTAATTCTTTTTCAATTGATTCATCATCTTTTTCAACAAACTGTTCTAAATTAGGTAATTTGTCTTCCAGGGTATTTACTAAATTACTTTGTTCTTGACTGTCTTTAATTTTTTGGGTTGAATGATTAAGATTAATCTTGGCTGTTGGTGGTTGGATGATATGATGTTGTCGAAATCCAATTTGGTTAATTAATGGTTTAATGGCAATTTCGCTCTTATTTTCAGTATCTCTTGTAACCATACTTTTGGTGTTTGTGAGATGTTTCATAGTTTCAGGTCGATTGCAAAGAAATTTAGTTCTCATAAATCCATTTAACCTTTCATTTTACTTGTGATTTTATCATCATTTCTTTGTGATTGTTTTTTATTTCAATTTTCGTTTAGTTGGCACAGTAAAAATAGTCAAAACTTAAACATTCCACGCTTGGATTATTGAAAAAGAGACTAAACTACTATTTATAGTATTTTATTATATTTTATTATAGTTTTCTTTCGTCGTGTACTTAATGTTAATCTTATCAAAAAAATGACATAAAAAAATTCCTATAATAAAATATATATTATTCTTTAATAGAATTTAGGTAAATGAAGATGCTTTTTTGTGTTTCTTCTTCTTGAAATACTCTTATCAATATTTCTTTTATGCCTTTTTTCTTACAATTTACGTTTGTTCAAGTTTAGTTATCTCTCTTCCTTATTAAGGTTGGTAATTATTGTCATCACTTCTTCGTTCAATTGATTAACAAAGAATGTAAGTTGACACTTGTTTATTTCTTTTGCTCTTTTTTTTT